TAAAATAAACCAATAAATAAAAAAATAAAAATAAAATAAATGTGTGTATGTGTTTGTGTGTCTGTGTGTGTGAAGCTGTGAGTGTGTGTCTGTGATCTGTTTTCATTCCAGAATCAGTGAGCTTTAGAGATTGGCGTTCTTGCTGACTAACATCATTTTGGAATAACTTCTTATCATTTAAGAGGTTAGTCAGCTGTCAAGACCAGAACTGTGATGTGGTTTCAGTTGGAGTCAAACAATGAATGAAGTTGTGTGTGTCTGTACAGATCTATATCTGCCTGCATGCTTGTGTAATTAGGTGGAAGTAATAGGCTGTCATATGGACAGAGAGTTTGTTTTAGCACTGTGACACACTGACTGACTGCTGACACACAGGTGAACTGTTCAAGCTAAATAAACAATGACGCAACCGGCTGCAGGGCAAAAGAAAAATACAAAAACTCTTTCAGTGGCAGAGTCACCAGGTAAAGGTGGTGTTGCATGTAAAATGTGAAAATATCACTATTTTTCTGAGGTTTTTCAGATTAAAACAGAAATTAAGATACAAATTCAGGCTCCTAATCCAATTTTGTTGATTTAAATTTTGTTTAATTGAACCCTTATGCTAATGAGTGGCTTTCAAACTTTAACAAGTTTGAGGGGGAACATGATATTAAACACCAAATGTTATTTTAATATGAAAACAAGTGCATTAACAGCATTCCCTGCTAAATACCATATCTTCACTTTCTATAAGGTTATGCTTTGCACTGAAGCTACAGTTCTTTTAGATACAGGTTTTAAATACAAAGAGTAATTGGGGTTTTGTTAGCTGTTACTAATATTAATTTAGATAGCCAGGTCTGCCTGTTTCTTCTGACCTGCTGACAATGAGAGGACAGTGTTTGTAGTTACAAAGGTGGAACTCATGTTGAGTCACCTGGCCTTGTTCTCGAGATGTAAGACAACACAGAGAGGGGGGAGAGTGAAAGGGTGAGGCTAAAGACGAGGAACAGAAGAGAATGAAAAAGAAAGCAAAGTAACTCCTGATTTTCTCGGAGTGATTAATCACTTCAGACAGATATTTAATCACTGTAAAGATAAATAAATTGCTGCCATGAGACTCGGAGGCAGCAGGTAGTCTGGCAGCGTGATCAGAGTGTCAGATGGCAGTTGAGGTAAACAGGACATCGACCTGATAAAGACCGAGCAGAGCAGATCTGACTGTCTCTCAGCCAAATGAGCATCTGCTGCTACACTGCACACTGACTAATCACAGCTCCACACAACAACTAGAGGACTAATTCACTGTATCGCCAGTGACACTGCATCATCGGCAGTATGTCGTTATACATTTAACTTATAAAGACATGTAGACAAGATAGAGGTAAACACAGAAATAATATGGATATCGAAGTTGACACTTGATGTTGTTACAGGAGCAAACTGTTAGAACGAGCTCTTATTAATTGCTGATGACAATAGTTGTGTTTCCACCCAAATCTATTGCAAATTTGACCCCTTATTGCTCCTTCCTAAGCCCCACCCCTTTTTGCTATGTTCTCCAATAACAGAGCAGAACTCTGTCAACTTTCTCCTTTCTTGTTTGCGATATTTTTTTTCCAGGATGCCGAAGTCATGACCATGACTTGACTCTGCCTCTGATTGGCTTACCTCACTCCTCATGCCTAAAACTAACTAACCAAATCAGTGAAGGCAACAAGCACTAGCCAATCAGAGCCAAGGTAGGGAGGGTTATGACTTTGCCATCCTAGGAAAAAAATGGCTAGGCTGGTATATGCTGATTAGAAATACATTTTTAAGATGGTTAATATATATAGTCACATCTTAAGTTAGCTTATGGTAGCAAAACAATAGCTAACAAACAAGTCATGTAAATTAGCAAGCGAGTTAGCTAGCATGACAGTAAAAAACAACACAAAAAACAGACATTCCTGTTTGTTTTATGTATTAATGTGAGGAAGATTACATCAGAGCTGTGTGGAGCGATAACGGAGTCATGGAGCAATGAAGAGACAGCTCATCATGTGAGTTTAGTGTTTGGCAAACATTAACACTTTTTTTTGCAAAATTTTGCAAATTTTTCCAAAGGTTGCTGTTTCCATCGACCTATACTTATGCGATAATTCAAAATGCACATAAAACTCCATTTATGGAAACACGGCTAATGTCTTCAGGCCATTTTTCTTCCACCTCGGCCAAATGTAGAAGCATTTTCTTTCCCAGTCTACAAAAATCTGCATAGAAAGCACACCAGCACAACATAAAAACAGAGAGCCAATCCTGACTTGCTCAGAGGACAACTAATTAATCAGGTCTTTTAACACATCATCGGTCCAATGGCCTGAATAACAGCTGAGTCCTGCCAGTGGAGTCCTGGCTGCCCCTTGTGCCTGCAGTCATCACTGTCTCACCCAGAATCACAGTAAACACGCCGCGCTGGGGAATAACGGCGTTGGTAAAAATCTGCCTTCTCTTGAAGCTAAATTGGGAGACGCAGTTTTCATAGCTGGTGAAAAAAAAAAAAACTCAAGGCAGCATCGCTGACCAGGAGCTCTCGCTTTCTCTCTCCTTTAGATCTTGTTAATGAATTCTGAAACACAAAGCTTTTCCTAGGAGAACTCCCTGTGATCTCGTCCTGATGTGAACCAGGTTTATTGCCAGCCGCTGCTGAGCAGAAGAAACACACTCCTCTGAAGGCTTTTGGACTCTAATTCTACTCAGACTTCAGTGTTTTACTGGAATACTCCACTTCAGTCTAGTTGAATGCATATAAAATGTTTTCCTGAGCTTATTGTGAGCAACAGTTTTGTTTCAATTTGATTTTACTGAGAGAAACATTCAATTCAGCTTAACGCAAAACACAAATCTCTCTCTCAGTCCGTGACCTCCCTCGCACGTTCCTCCTACCACCCTCCTCTTCCTCCCACCTCTCCCCCTCCTCTTCTTTCATCACCAGGTCAACCTTGAAAAGAGCTGAGTAATACAATAAAAATGTGGGGGCTGTTGAATGTCGCACCATTTGAAAGCGAGGCAATGTGTGTGTGTGTATTAATTAAAGCAGAGCAAATGAGGAGAGAGAATCTGTGGCGTATTAACACGGCGGAATAACACGATCACTCGGTCAGGTAAACAGACGAGGAGGCGGGGAGGAGGGGGAGAGCAGAAAGATAGATGGGCAGAAAAAAGACAACAAGGGGAAGGAAAAAGACAGAGAGGGAGAGGACAGAAAAACAAAGAGTGACTGAAAACATTTGGTACAATCGGAGCAGAGCTGATGAATGGGGTTTAATGTGGGAAGGACAGGTAAGTTACATTGTTTGTATTGTTTCATGTGCATCTCAATGTGACGTTTTTAGAACAAGAGCAGAAAAAAAAGACAAACTACCTTGGCATCATCTGCTGACAGTCACTGGGTCATCAGGACACACAGCGGTAGAGCATCTGTATACACACACTCTCTCTCTCACACACACACACACAGCACATACAGAAAGGTTAAAAATTAAATATTCTCCTGTAACTTTTATGTTGTGACTCTGTTTTACCTCCATAAAATGGATTCAATGTTGAATTTAAAGCTGCAATAGGTAACTTTTATAAAAAAGTTTGTCATATTTGCTGAAACGTTCACTGTATCCTGACCAGTCATTAGTAACAGTTAATAGTTACTTCAGCACACAGCAGTCAGATTTAATGTTTTAGTGTTGTGCTGTGAGATAAATATATCTTATTACCAGAGGGCAGCAATGAGCACCGTTCCTACCTGTAAGCTACGCTAATTGTCTCGGTTAGTAGGAGGATTCAGTAGAAGACTGATGTGAATATTAACTGAGTTTTGTTACAGCAGTTAATCAATATTTACTTGATGTGTTGGCCAACGTAAGGTCGGTGATGTTACAGACGCTCAGATGTGCTGCGTTATCTCCTGCAGTTGTCCACTATATTCAAGTAAGACAAAAGTAACAAGTAAAGAAACTATTTCAATTTTAGTAATCGTAATTCTGTTATTTATTTGATATTAGTTATGAAGTAATAAATTACTGTATGGGCCAAGAAAGACAGTCAATTGTTGTTGCCGTCAAACGATGGGAATCAAACTTTTTTTGAGTCTTTTTTGGCTCTGATTGGCTGTTTTCATTCAGGCGCGGTGGATTCTTGAAAGGAGGAGCCAGAGGAAGCTGACTTTTTTCAAATGATCTGTCTCATGTCCTACTGTCAGGATACAGTGAACGTTTCAGCAAATATGACAAAAAGTTACTTTTATAAAAGTTACCTACCGCAGCTTTAAATGTGCTGACATCCAAACTTTGTTTCATTGTATAAACTACTTTGCTTCCAATGTCATTCTGTCTATTGATTGGCTTACAGGTGTCCAACTAAAATCACATTTAGCCATCCATCTTTCTTCTAAAAATGGTCAAAAATAATGCCAACATGTTGTTTTAATGTACAATAATAGCACAGTTATAAAAAGGTAAGGCTCATTTTAATCTCGACGACTGATCTCTGGCAGAGAAAACCTAAACAAATTAGCCTACAAGCTAAATGCAGACAGTGTGTAAAGAAGAGTAAGAACCAGGGCAGCAGATACGTTTACATGATGTCTGATGTTCTGCAAACTGAAGTCAGCAGTG